GTTTTCAAAATTTTTAAAAATTTGTAGACTTTATATATATATATATATATATATATATATATATAAAGTCTAATAAGAAAGGTACAAACTGAGAAAAAGGTTGTAGCCTATGTCACCTAGTCCATCATCTAGATACAACATAAGGAAGCTTTTATAAAGCACTATAATAGACACAAAAAGACTATTTTAACATGATCCATCAATATCATGTAACATTTTGGTATTTGGAGGTGAAGGGACCTATGTAGGGGAGGGGAACAGGTGGCTTGGATGATTAAAATTCATCTTAATGAATGATGGAATGAGAAATAAAGCTATAAAACAAGATTAATAGGAATATATCATCAAGATTGTTGAAATGTACAAAACTAAAAGCAATGAGTTCTATTTTGCTAATGAAGAAAGAAGTTACAGTGTCATTGACAGCTCCGATATTCATAAACAACCAAAACAGGATCAAGATGCTTAATGTACCTCATCAACTTCGGACGAAAGTGCAGTGACACTCTGTCTCAGCAGTGATTTTAATCTGTCCTTTTTAAAGTTTGAAATCCCAGCTTCAACACCATTACTAAACAATGGGCCAGAACAATTATCACTCTGATTGACTAAATTCTTCTTTTTTCCCTCTTCATATTTTCTTTCAGGTAGCTTGGGTGTTTGAGTAGAAACAGGAAAAACATCTTCATCTTGTGACAATAGATTTACTATTTCAGAATAGTAATATCCAAAGTAATCAGGTCCTACTCTTTCACATTTATCAGATGCAGCGAAACTTTTTGAGGCATTTGACATGGCAGAGAAGGGTGAAGCTCAACAAGATTCAACTACATTAATCACAAAAAACATGAAATTAATAGATATAAATATATACTGAACAATGAAATTAAAGAGCTTGAAAATGCTCATCCAATAAAAACCTAAATTAAATTTAGATAAAGAGAACAAAAGTTTTGCATAATTGTTTTAAGAAATGATCATAGGTTATTATACTCACGCATAAACTTCTCCACTGTGCATAATCAAGCAGTCACCCTAGATCTGGGTCAAACACCAAATCATTTGTGTCAGTCTAATTAAAACACTCAAATTGGCAAAGTTTTTAAAGTTTATATAACAACAATTAAATTACAAAAGCAGGAAGAATATGAAAATTTGTTGAGTATAAATAAATAAAGGCACCCATATATATTAAGGAGCCTAAATCAATAATACCTAGCAAATGTGTAGGATATATATAGCCAAAATGCCAGTACTTTTTCCTTTTTCAATTTAGAAAATAAAACTGATAAATATGTTTGATAACATTATTTAAGAATTTTGGGATTAATTTTAAGAACATAACCTGTCAAATGCCGTGAAACACAATTTCCATTCTCTGTCGCCGTTCGTTCCTCTGTTTCTTATATGCTCTTCCATCTCTTCATTTGCCTTGTTCACACCCCTTTTAGGTTGTATGTTGCAATTCCAATAATAATAAACACGACCTAATCTAATAAAAGTATAGTATATACACGTAGGTAATGTAAAAAAATAAAAAGAATTGTCGAATGAGACCAAGAGGTCGTTGGTGGTCACCGCAGATGACTGAGACAGTCGGTGAGCGTCACCGGCGATGGCTATAACAGCAGCGGGTAGTGCGGTGGTCCGGAGATCTCGCTGGGTGCTGGGGTGGTCCAGGTTTATGCGATTTTGAAACGACCCTATCGATATTCTTTTTCTCTTTGTCTAAGGTTTTCTAACCACAAGTCTCTTTAATTAATTGTTTGGGTGGGTGGGCTTCCTTGTACCTAATTTTAAAAAGGCTAAAAACTTATTTTGGTCCTTTATAATTCTTTTTTGTTTCAATTTAATCTCTTATTAATTTTTGATCTCAATTTGGTCCCAAATTAATTAATTGGTTTCAATTTAGTTCAAAACGGCCCGTTCCAGACAACGAATTGGGCCCACGGCCCAGTGAAAATTTGGGTTGTTACAAAAAAGATATTGAGAAAGAAAAAATAATTTAGATTTTTAAATAAAATTTTAAAAAAGTAAAATAGTCCATATAAAAAAAACTAAGGAAGTTACTCAAAAGATATCTTTCTAATAATTGTATAGATTTAAAATTGTACATAATCATGAAAACTAACTCTAGTGTAATGGCTATATTTATTTTAACATTCTAAAGGTGTAAGGCTCAATTCTCACTTGGAACAAAAATTTTATTCTAATTTCAAAATTTTGAATGAATTTCATTCCAAATTTAATTTTCATAATATTATTATTATAGGTAAAAGACTAAATTAATAATAAAGAAAAACTACAATATGGTAATTATATTTATTTTAACCTTCTAAATGCTCAATTTTAATCAGAACAAAAATTTATTCTAGTTTAAATTTTTTTTATAATTTTATCAATAAAAGATAACATCATTTTCAAATTTTTGATTCAATTAAATTTCCAAATTTAATAATAATTATTATTCAAAAATATTATTTATGCTAGTTTAACTTTATTCAAATTTGAATTCTTTAATATTTATATTATAGGCGATAGAATAAATCAATAATAAAGTTAACCTTAGAAAAAAATGGTTAATCTTAATATTGAAATAAAATTATAAATTTAATTATTTAACAGAGACCTCGGTTTTTAAATTGAGCCCGGCGCGACTTTCCTCGCGCCCGGCGTGATTTTGCAATGATGGTCTCTGATAAATTCAAGCCCGGCGCAAAGAACTGAGCCCGGCGCACTAGCGACCAGAAACCCTCGAAAACCTCTTAGTACCAATTCAGTATAATGGTGTACAATGCATCATTCACCAAATTCATGCACACACATGCCTATATAAACCTTTCATCTCATACTACAAAATCACTATTATGCTTAAACAACTAATCAAAACCACATCAACATACAACATGCACAGAGGTAAGTACATTTCAAATCCACATATCCATAATCCAATCCAAATCCATATAAATAACATATACATACATGCATATATACTAAATAGCTTGGTATTTCCATGGTGTTACATAACTCGCAACGGCCCGTTCCAAAAGTGGAACGGCCATTCTGGACCCTCCAGAACCAAGCAAAAATCTCAACTGGAACGGCCCGTTCTCAATCCCAGCAGAACGACCCATTCTACTTTCAGAACGACCCGTTCTCCAAAGCAGAACGTCCCGTTCTCCAACCGGAACGGCCCGTTCTCAACTACGTTTTTTAGGAAATTTCTTTATTCCAGAACGGCCCGTTTCACTTTCAAAACGGCCCGTTCCAGACAACGAATTGGGCCCACGGCCCAGTGAAAATTTGGGTTGTTACAAAAAAGATATTGAGAAAGAAAGAATAATTTAGATTTTTAAATATAATTTTAAAAAAGTAAAATAGTCCATATAAAAAAAACTAAGGAAGTTACTCAAAAGATATCTTTCTAATAATTGTATAGATTTAAAATTGTACATAATCATGAAAACTAACTCTAGTGTAATGGCTATATTTATTTTAACATTCTAAAGGTGTAAGGCTCAATTCTCACTTGGAACAAAAATTTTATTCTAATTTCAAAATTTTGAATGAATTTCATTCCAAATTTAATTTTCATAATATTATTATTATAGGTAAAAGACTAAATTAATAATAAAGAAAAACTACAATATGGTAATTATATTTATTTTTTTAAAAATTGGATTGATTATGTTAGGATACCGAAAATTACTGATTAAATTGCATGAGATTTTTATTAATTTTTTGAAAAAATATTTGTATTAAATGTATTTTTTATTTTAAATTTTAAGTTTTATTTTATTTAAAATTATTTTTATTTTTATTTTGTATAAAAAAATATATAAAAAAAATTACATGTTAAATTATATATTAATATAAATTAAAATATAAGTAATATGTACATATATAATATATTTGTAATTGATATCACAAAATAATATACGTAATATTTATATAGATATTATATTATTAAATATATAAATTAAAATTAATAATGTATTACAAAAGTTATTTAAGTTGTATATATTAAAAATAAATATATTAGAACAAGTAGTCATTGTTATGTTTAATAAGATTTTTTGCTCTTTCATAAACAGGATTTAATTTCTATTATTATTTTTGTAGTTTGTGTTCCCTTAAAAAAAATTTAAAAAAAATTTGGTTGAATCGTTTTTTACCCACCGATTCATTTGTCGAACTGAAAAATTGACATGTTCACTCCTATTTGAAATAGGCTAAATGCATAACCGATCCAACTCAAGACTTGGATCAGCTGGACCACTGATTTCCAGTTCGACCGGTCGGTCCGATCCAATTTTTAAAACACTGCTTCTCTTTATAATTATTTTAAAATTACTAGATTTTGAGTCATACGTGACAATTTTTTTATTTTGATTATCGAGATTTGTTATTAGTTGAAAAAGTTATAAAATTCATTAATAAATTAAAAAAATTTGATAATTAATATATAAGAAAAAATGAAAAGTTATTAAATAAATTGTTTTATTTTAAGTTTTTAAAAATAATTATAAGATGAATATGAAAGGTTTAATATATTAATGGGTTTAATATATTCTTGTTCCTCTAAAATTTGACTTTATTTGGTTTTAATCCCTCAAAAAAAATTTCTTGATTTTATTCCTACAAATTTATATAATACCTATTTTTAGTCATTTTTTAAACACTATTAACTTTTGTTGTTAAAATAAGTCACTCAATATCCAAATCATCATAAGTTTTATTAACATGAAATTTTTTAATCTAAAATATTAATTATTTTATGATTAAGTTAAGATTTAAGATAAAAACTAATTTTACACTTAAATTTTTTTACTATTCACTCTTGACCGGAGGTTCCAAAAGTACTCTAAACCCTAAAACTTCAAAATAATTTTACATTTAAAATTTTTCACTATTCACTGTCAATCTTAGACATGGAGGTTCCAAAAGTACTCTATTTTACTTTTTGTTTCTCTATTTTGCTTTCACATTCTATGGAGGAAGCTAAGGGCCTCTCATTTCTAAAAGGCAACATCTTAAAACTTGAGAAGGGAAAAGAATGAGCGTTGTTTAGAATAATTAAGACAGTGAGAGCTTCAAGAGTCGCTTAGGGTGAAATGGTGTTGTCAAAAATTGAGAATTTGGAGGTTGTCAATAAAGACATAAAACTAAATGTTTATGGACACAGTGATGACAGTGGAGAAAAAAAAACTTTATTTGAGTTTGTGGGAAGATTTTATTAGATTTTGGTTGGAGAATCTTTTTTTAGAGTAATTAGCACGTTGAGAGCTTCAAGAGCTCCTTAGAGTGAAATGGTGTTGTCGAAAATTAGGAATTTGGAGTTTAAAGGGTTATCGATGAAGGCATATATTCAATAAGATATTTACTAAAAAAATATCTTAAAAATATTCAATAAAATATTTAACTATACATTTTAATTATTTGTAACAGTGTTTTTTATTTTAAAAGTTATAAAAATCTGCATAATTTTTTTTTTTGAATATTATAACTAAAATTCAAATAAAATTTGCATAGAAAAAGTTTGAAGATTATAAAATTCAAATTCAAATATTTTATATAATTATACTAATAAAAATAAGTAGATTTAAAAACTGAATTTTAAATATTCAATCGTATAAGTTTGAAGTTTAAACAATAATTGTTAAAATAAAATATTTTGATAACACATAAATTAAAATAAAAGATAATAAAATACAATACTTAACTTCTATAAGTCTAAACATAATCAAATTCATACATGTTCAAATAAAATCAAATTCATACAAGTCCAAATAAATTGATTATTAGCAGGTACACGTATCCATAGTACGAATTTTGATACTCATACCCTGTGTGTTAACATGCGGGTAGGGATGGGAATAAGTTAGAACAGACTTTGAATATACTAGTTAGACTTGTTTTGCAAAATTAAAGTCTACGTTTGATCTATTATCTATCATAAATTTTTTTTATAGGTCTGGCCTGACCTTTTTGAAAGTCTGGTCTAACCTATTAGCCTATTTAAAAACTTATTTAAATTATTAATATTAATTAGGTCAATAAACTTAATTTTTAAAAATCAAAAAAATATTTTAAAATATAATTTATTCAATATTATTAAAAATTAAATTAAAAAAATATAGGAGAAAAATTAAATCATTTTCTATTGAAGGAACAATTTATGTATAATCATGTATGTTAATGTACATTCATGCACAAATCGTAAACTTACAGACCTATAATGAAAAAAATATTTGTATAAAAATATTTTAAATATTGATAATTTATTTTTACTTTATAAATTTATTTGTTTATTTATATTTTTAATTATATATATATATATATATATTATATAAATAAATAGGTTGATCTATCAAGACTAAGATGTTTTTATATAAGTTTAAGCTTGACCTTTTTATATAAATAAACTTTTTTAAAAGTTTAAGTATGACATTTTTATTAAACAGGTCAGACTAGCTAGAATTTAAAGAGGAAAGGTCATACGCCTCTATTTAAAATCTGGCCTAATCCTATTTCTACATGCGGGTATAAAAAATATTAGTATCCGTTACTCGTAGGTACCCGTTTACAATATTTGTAACACCCAGTTTTTTTAACAAAAAATGGCATTTTCGTAATTATTGATGGCATTTTCGTAATTTTAATAAAGGAATAAGGGTATTTTTGGGTGTCGGAACGGGCCGTTCCAAATGCAGATCGGGTCGTTCCAAAAGAAGGAATATG